TTTCAAGTGCCCTGGAGAGCTTGATATTATAATTCATGGATGGAGGAGCGCCATTTTTTTCACTAACTCCTGCCAGAGTGCCTGGCTCTGTAATTACTGGTCTCTGATGAACAGAGAATTTATGACAGAGAGGGAGAGAAAGATCAGGAGGCAGTTAGAGTGAACCCAGCTCCTGCCAGTGGCATCCTTCCACTAGCTTCAAGTTGGATTCAGTTTGAGGAAATAAACACATGCATGAGGCAATAGCTAGAGGGAAATGAAGGCAGAGGGACAAGGGAGGAGAGAAGGGAGGAAATCTACTAATAAGCAAACCCGGGAGGATTCCTGCAGCTGTCATCATGAGTGACATGTTTCAGCAGCAGTCAGAAAACTGGTTTAGAGTTGGTGAACTGGCATTAGATGTATTTTCCCCAGGGTTAATTCCCATTTTAAGTCTTGTTTTAAAGAAGTCCTCAGTGTTCATCAACATAGAATCACAGGAGTCTCCTGGACATTACACCCAGTTGATATGATTTCTGCTTATTTTTGAGAAGTCCTGTTTGTTTGACACAAGCTTGACCAGGCATATGGCTCTGAATACTACAGTACCCATGAGCCCTAGCTGCCTTTGCCATAAAAATGAGATCTGGAACAGCAGTAGTGAATTCAGGATGCTGCTTTGCTGCAGATTGTGCTTTCAGCTTTCAGTCTTTTGCTACCGGCTGTGGTTAGTGCTGCATGTAACTGAATTTTAGGCTCAGTTGTTGATGCTTTACACCAAAATGTACCTTGGGTGTTGTAGTTTAACTTCTCCCCTAAAGCATTTTGATGTACACACTCCTGTTTTCATAAAAGCACTAAATACAATAAATGTTGTTTATCTTTATCAAACTTGCAGCCGATGCACGTTGACATCTTGCTGCGATTCATAATGATTTAATAAGTACTCACAGCGTATATCGACTGCATACTGTGAAGTATCATACATGTACCTTTATACACAGCCATCAGCAGGGTGTACTCTGCTCCTGCAGACCCCCTGGCCCCACAGCTTCCAAATCAAACACTCAGGAAGGAAATAATTTGAAGTAAATCTGAACGAAGCACAGACGAGAACAAATCATTAAACCTCAGCCCAATGAAACCATAAAACTAACAAACAGCCTCTGTCAGCCGCTGGCTGAAGCTGTACTAAAAACACACATACACACACACACCTCCAGCCTTGTAATGAGAAATGTTTGGATGTGGCCTTGAGTAGCTTTTTGGAATGTGTCCCAGACAACTGAAATATTGCATCGGTTGCACAATGACAATCACTTGCCTGGTCTTTAGTCTGCTCTCACCTCTAATGAAGACAGAATAATGAGTCATGGATGGACCAGACCTTTTTTTGTGTCTGTGCTCCTGTGAGCAGGACAAACGCACACTTATTTTGTGTTAAGACCCGGAACCAGTAATTGAAACTGAGGATTTAATGTATTATATTAATTTAAAATGAAGGATTTTGTTTCTGTTTGGCTATGAGATGGTCAGCACTGAGCCAGAGCGTGTTTAAATGTGAGTGAATTAATGTAGTGCCTCACAAGGGTAGTATATTATTCCTGTGGTATAATAGTGCCTCGTCCATGGGGGTGAAGCTGAAATGTATGACATCTTCCTGATGGCGACAACATCCGCATAAAGGATTCAACACGGTGGTTAAAATAAGACAATTAAAATGTGATTGATCAGCCGGAGTGGCAGTGCTGTGAGCAGCAGCAGAGCTGTAACAGAGGTGGTGCCAGGAGCAGGCGGGGAGGAGGTGGCAGCCCATTAACTACCACCAGGAGCAATAATGACACTGTAGAGGGAGGAAAAAACTGAGCGCCGGGCTGTAGCTGGTTTTTACACATGGATGAGTAATGTCATGATTTAATTGATCTGTGCTGGTCTGTGCTCTGGTATGTCTCGATGAAAAACAATTTACTTAGGTGCATCACGTTGTTTCCTTGGATTTCACCAAACACACCTTATAAACTCAGTCTCAGAACTTTGTCTTATAGTACCAAATTTCATAGGAAATCATCAGGAAATAATGGACCTGTGAAATCCAACATTGGCAACAAATTCAGCCATTAATTGACTAAAGACAGAGAAATAGGTGAGTGGGAGAGAAATAACCTCCTGCCTTAACATTCATAATTAGCATCTTATGTCAGAACATTTTGACAGCTGTGGAGCACTGGTTGTACTGGGCAGATACCCGTTATAACCATGTATTGTTATGAATATAAAGCAGACATTTTAAGCGAATGACTGACATTGATGGATGAAGTTATATTACAGATGTTTTTGCATCATCACTGTAACAGTTGGTTTTAAGAAGACATTCGCAGTAAATTCCAGCAGGTATTGCAGCAGTAAAATATAGCATCCCTCTGTCACACATACCCACCCTCCCCCACATGGCTGAGGTTTGCTCAAGGCCACACATAAATTACAGTGACAAGCTCTTGTCTAGATTTTCCCTCCTCGTCCCTCTCTTTTTATAACATCTTTTTTTTTCTCCTACCATGGATACAGACCGGCATGCCACCACGTTCCTGTTTAAGGATTTACATCTGTGACCAACTCAAACACTCTGTTCTGTCATTTCACAGCTGCTGGTGTTTCTGTTGCTAGGCTGAATCCCCGGAGAAACAACATTGATCCTTACTTCCTCAAAGTGGCTGCTGATTTTACAGCACAACTATTGACTCATATTTTTAGTTGTACCTTTTCTAATGATGATATGTCTAACATATGGAAATCTGCCTATGTTCTCCCTTTGTTGGAGGGGATCTGTTAATAACTATAGACCAATTTCTAAACTGTGTTGTACATGTATTGTACAGTAGCTTTGCTGTCTGGTAGAGGTGTTGAATATTCCCTATGTGGCCTTTCCCCTCCATAAATGTTACATTTAATTGTTATTTCTGTCATTTATTTGATTTTAAATGTGTGCAAATGCAGAAGTCTAAATAAACTAGTTCATTACTTTGAAAACGGCACTGATCACCACCAGCAGTGCTTTGTGTATCAGTGGTCACTAGAGGGCACTAGACCATTCCCCATGCAAGAAGACCTCATTTCCATTTATGTCACTTTTCCTTGACTGAATGAGACACATGTGAGACAGTTCTGCTGTGCAACAGCTTTTACTTCCCTCTGGGTTCCCAGGACAGTTGCTGTTGTTGGAATAGACAGATGTTGCAGCTGTTTCCACAATGGGTATATTGCCAGAGGTGTGTTTGTGTTTCTGTGTGTTCTCGTTTGCAGCAAGCAATGGGAAGCAGTGTGAGTGTTTGGGCAGAAACAAGAGAGACAGAGGAAATTGTTTCCTCTAAACATTAATACACTGTGCTGGTTGCTGAAGGACAAAATGAGTGCATGGATGTTAGTGCTGGAGCATTGTTAGTCCACACATTAACAGCGTTGCTGCTGCTCACTTGGCGTGCCTCAAGGTCCAACTGTAACCACTGTGTGTTTACACAGTACCCTGTGCGCTGATATTAGTACTAACATCTCACTTATTTACTGTGTAATGAGCAATTTGCTGCTCCACAACACATCTGGGTACCCAGGCTTTCCCCACATGTAGTTTACATTATTGTGAACCATTTCTTATTGATGTTAGATTGGTCTCCCACCAGCGGTTCCATTCATTCCAGTAAGCTATGAACATTAGAGACTTGCTGATCTGGGTAATCAATTATTAAGGTAATGTTAAATTGATGAGGTAAAATAGTTTTGTCCTATTGGAGGTGCATTCAAGGATAATCCAACAACTGAGAATTTATGATTATTCAAAAGCTAACCCCTTCCCCGTTTATTCCCCCCAATCTCCCATTGCAGGTCGAGAGAAGAGAAAGGGTCCCATGATCTCTGCCGGTGATGCTGAGTTCCCAAGGGATTACCACACCCTGGCTGCTGGCTGCGGCCGTGGGGCCCGGCGGTTCCCCGACACCACCAACGGTGGATTCACGTCGTCCTCATTGGACCGGCGCCACAACACCGTGGCTGCCAAAAGCCTGGAAGCCCTGAACAGCATCCACAAGGTGGACATCGAGCGCCAACGAGACGCTCTAATGGATCTCCAGAAGAACAAGTACTCCAACAGCCCTGGCAACATGTCGCAGGGCTCTGTCACCGCTGGACGACAGGTATCTGCCTTGCACACTTAATATACTTAGCTGGCATCAACAAACACAACAAGGGATGCTCTGATGATTTGCCATGGTAACATGGGTATTATTGTAACTGCATCAGTGGTGGGCACTAAAATCCATGTTAATTCTGCATATAATAAACAACACTACTCGCATGCACTCAATTTACACAAAATATGTTGGACTATTCTGCCACTTTTTAGAGTCATCCTGAGGGTCAGAAAATATACGATGTAAAGCACCATTCAGTGCATTAATCGTGTCTAATGGTGTCTTTATTTTGGTAGGCACTGAGCAGTTATCTATAATTAAACATCAGTTACACTTTGTGCGGTTTCTTTTAGTCAGGATGCAGAAGTGCTTGCAGTGCACACGGTCCTTTGGGAATACCTAGGGAAAACAGAGTGCACACTGGAAAATATCAAAAGTGCTAGGTAAGAGTGATTTTATTCATTCTCAACTTTTAAACTGACAATAAATGTCTGTGTGAACCAGCAGGGTGATAGAGCATATAAGGTGTTATCATCAGAGGAATATATCATGTATGTAAGAGGAAAAACCACAACAGTATATGGTCAAATGTGGTGTATTTTTGTGTTGTTACTCAGATTTAACATTGATATATTCCCAGTGTTTCTTTTGAGGAGTTTCATGAACTTACTGCCAACATAAATAGCACAGGCTTCATGAAAGAGGTGATACTTTTGTCTGGCGAAGTAGATACTTTTCAGTCTACCCATTTTTATGCAGATTGTAATATTACATTTGTATTATTCAGAATTAATATATACACACACACATGCTGATATCTGTCCATCAACCTGTGTTAAAATATAGGTATTAAAAAAATGAAATTACCAGATATTTCAGAAGAAATATATCCGTGTTTATCGCTATGTGTATTAAAATGCAGATCCAGATCCACATGTCTGTACAGTGGCAAATCTAAGGAGAGTGCAGCCTCAGGGAAGGTATGGGCTCTCTGAGTGCTTTCTGTTTCCACATGAACATTTTCTTCCTGGGAGATAATGACAACACATTGGTGGGCTTGGCAACCCACACAAGTGTATTGTGTGGCGGGATGCCTCTGGGGCTCTAGACACACACACTGGCCTGCTGGGTCAGAAATGGACACTTGTTTTTTTACTGGTTATTTGCTGAAAGAGTCAGCACTAGAATATATAGAAAAGGATTCAAATGAGTC